AAAAAAAAAAACGAGTTAATAGAGGTACTTTTTAAATATGTGTATCAAGCAAAAGACAAAAAAACAAGTTTACCCGTTTATTCAGTTCACTTAATTGAAACTTTTTCAGACAGTTCCTTCTTCGAGTCTTGGTCGGCTTTTGCCAGCAATGAAACGTCACATTTAGCCAGCTGTTAATCAAAAAAATGAGTTCAATTTCTGTTTAAATCTGGCATTTTTTAATTGCTACAACTTTTTTTTTTTTTTTTCTAAAGAAAAGAGTAAAAAGCTAATGGAATTTGCCTCATCTGTTTTTGATTGTAAAATTTTTGGTTAAATACACTTTTTAAACAATCAATGTTGTAAACAGTTGATTGGCGAAATAAATGACTCATGAGATCTAACAAATTTTTGGAATTTGATTGGCAAAATTAAGTTACGAACGACAAGGACAAAAAACTGTTAATTACCACTAGCGTTCAGTGTAAACTGCCCAGAGTTAACAACAAAAAACTAAGTATTTCAAATTTCAACTTTATTTTCTACCAAGACAATTTTTTTTTTCTTAGTTTTTTTGACTATGGCTGGAAGTAACTGTCGAGTATCTTAGAAATCTAGTGAAAGTAAGCTGAAATGATGTTTCAATTTTGTCTGTTCGGCGAGGGACTATTGAGGTAAATTTTTCATTTGTTTCATTGGTAAAAAACAGAAGAAAAAAATGCTAAGACATATATAGATGTTAATCGTAATAATTAGACAGCACAAACAAACTAAAGCAGAAAAAAAGGATAGAAAGACTAAGAAACTGAAAATATGAGAAAATGAAAAAAGGACCGAAGAGGAAAGGCTTTAGCAAAATTGTCGTTAGGCGGACCGAGGATTAATGATCATCATTGTCGTCAACGTCATCATTATCATCATAAAAAACTGCTATTTTTTGATTACGTCAAAAATTATTGCTTTAACATAGAACTATCACCTTTTCTGTTTACTGAGTAAACACCAACTGAAAGTATAGATGAATAAACAAATTTATTACAAATTATTTCTACTTGACAGTCTTTAATTCTCAAAGAAGAAAAAAGTCTCATTCCCAATAAGAGAAATGTAAATCAATGACAATAGATAAAGAAAAAAATTGACAGATATATGACTATTCTGCAGATTAACAATAGTCAAAAAAAATGTTATTATGTTTACTTAGAAAGCATAAAAGTTTACATTTAAATCTTTGTAAAGAACTAAATAAATAGAATAAAAATCTTTTTGTTTTGTCATCAAAACATCAGTTTTAAGAGCAAATGTATTGAAACTCGACAAAACAGAAAAGAAAGTGATAACGTCAATAACAGAAAAATATAGTCAAAAAAAAATCAGAATTTTTATAGGAAATGGTGAGTAAAACTTAAAATTACTGACTGGTAGAATCGTTGACATATCACTGATTGCAGCCACATTAGTTTTGCTGTAATTTTTCTCAGTAATGCTGCTGTTTCCTTTTCTGGCAATGAACTAATGCAATAATACTGCAATGTTATTTAAAACGACAACAACATTGACAGTTGCAATAACAGTGATAAATTATTACTAATGCTAAAAAATAATAATAATAATAATAATAATAATAATAATAATATAATAATAATAATAATAATAATAATAATAATAATAACAATACTAATAACAATAACAATAATTAATAATAATAATAATAATAATAATAATAATAACAATAATGCGATAATAACAAAAGTTAGGCTAATACTAACAATAACATTAAACTTATTAGCAACAATAATAATAGTAATAATAGCTGTTATACTAATAATAATAATAAGGCAATAATAATAGTAATAATAGCTGTAATAATAGTAATAATAATAATAGCGACAAAAACAGTATCAAGAACAATAAGGTTTGAAATGGAAGCAGTAACAATCGTAATAAAAAAAAATTTGATAATAACTATTTTAATGACAATTATTTGGGTTACATAAACTTTTTTTTTCGTTTAACTAAGCTTATGTATTTGGAGATTAAACTAAGTTTAGATATTAGAACCAACCAGCTTTATCAATATTTTTAGTAAAGTTGTCTTGTTCTCCACTTTTGTTCCTCTTTGAAATTAATTGAAATAAAAATATTTTTTTATTGTACGACTCAATTCAAAGGAAAGAAAAGAAAGAAGAAAACGAAATAACCAAGAACTATAGCAGATTATAAAGATAAGCATTCATTTATGATGATTTTTTGATAGGTTTATATAAAGAGAAAAAGAGAAGCGAGAAAGTCGAAAAGTTACTTTATGAACAAAAAAAATTTTTTTTCCAAATTTCTTCTCAAAATTGCTAAACATTTTTTTTTCTTTAAACTGAAAATGTTAAAATTATTTCATGTAGTTACGTCTGCAAAGTTACCGTTTACAGTTTCCCTGATTTTGTCTTCATTTTTCTGGGTTCTGTCTCTGCAATGCATATGTAACCGCTTTTTTTGGTAAGTAAAACAGCTCAGTGATCAGTAATGGCAACAGTGCTGCTAGTGCTGATTCAATTTGCTTGCAACCACTGCAGCTGTTGATGCTTTTCCTCTGCTTCAGCCATTA